TTAAGAAACTTAGTAAAGAACGACAGAAATATTTTATAGAGAAGTATTGCAAAGGATGTGTAAATGAATTGCTTGAAATAGAACTTAGAGACACTTTCACACTAAAGGACTTGAGGAAAAATAAGTACATGAGTGAGGACGGTATTGACATAGCTAGTGTTATAAATGACTTAAGAAGATGTGTTGTTGTTATTGACGGAGCACGTATGACATATCTAGTGAAAGATTATGATGGAATACGAGACACAACAACACTTGTGTCAGTAGATAGCAAGGAATTCAATAAGCTCATGAAGAGTGTTTATGTAGGACGTATTGAGGAGAAGGATGTGAACGCACTGATGATTTATGAAGCGGGTCAGAACAAGAACTATCTTATGAAGTCAGGCATGAGATTCTTTGACGAAAGAGATGACATTTACAGCTATTTCAGAGGATATGAGTATGAGGTACTGAATGAAGTAGATGAGAACGTTATTAAGGATATTTGAAACATGTTCACGATGTCATATGTAATGAGGATGAAGAGCTTTATGAGTATGTTTTGAACTGGTTCGCCTACATCGTTCAAAATCCTTGTGGAAAGACTGGAACAGTACTTTTGTTAATAGGAAAGCAAGGAACTGGTAAGAATGTACTTAGTAATGTTCTATGCGAGCTCATTAGCAAGTACGCCAACAATAATATAACGGCAATAGAGAATGTGGTTGGTAGATTCAATGCTGCTATTGAGAACATGAAGCTCATCGTATGCAATGAACTAAGCTCATGCGATACGTCTAAGGTCATGAACCACGACGCACTAAAGTCAATAGTAACAGAGACTCAGTTGGACTTAAATCAGAAGTGTCAGCCAGTAAGAAAGATAGAGAATGTTTGTAATATCATCATGATATCTAACAACTTCAACTCAGTAAAGATTGACAAAGACGACAGAAGATTTGTTGTCATTGACGTAAGCAGCAGATACAAAGGAAATTACGAATATTTCTCAAATCTCATTGAAAGCTTTAATGAAGAGTTTTATTCAAACTTACTGACGTACTTCATGAAGAAAGATTTAAGTGAATTTGATGTAAGGAAGATACCATTCACCAGGGCTAAACAAGAACTCATCGAAATGAACAAAACACCTTACCAAATGTTTTACGAGGAGTTCTATGAAAAGTTTGTATCCGGATGGAATTGTACAGAGTGCTACAGAAGATATAAAGAATTTGCGAAGGAGAATGAATTCTTTGCATGTAGTTCAAATGTATTTGGTGGCAAGATGAGAGAATTTGTGAAAAGAAGTAGAAAGCGAGACGGTTCTGCAAGAAGTTATATTTACGAAGCAAGTATGATATTAGAAGGTCGTGGAAAGAAAGAAACAGTGAATTATGAGGAAGTGCTTGAAAAATTCATGGAGTACATGGGAAGCAATATAACATACAACAAAGACATATACAGTGAGTTTAAGTACTACTGTGAACAGCATGAGATTGAAGTAATGAGTAAAGGAGACTTTGAAACGCTTATGAAAGACAGTGAGGAGGTCATACATGTAATAATGAAATAGTTCATGAGAACAGTAAGGAGGTCGTTCATGCAATAATGAAATAGTTCATGAGAACAGTAAGGAGGTCGTTCATGCAATAATGAAATAGTTCATGAGAACAGTGAGGAGGTCGTTCATGAATGCAATAATGAAATAGTTCATGAGAACAGTGAGGAGGTCGTTCATGAATGCAATAATGAAATAGTTCATGAGAACAGTGAGGAGGTCATACATGCAATAATGAAATAGTTCATGAGAACAGTGAGGAGGTCGTTCATGCAATAATGAAATAGTTCATGAGAACAGTGAGGAGGTCATACATGAATGCAATAATGAAATAGTTCATGAAAGACAGTAAGGAGGTCGTTCATGAGAACAGTGTTGAAATAGTTCATGAGAACAGTGAGGAGGTCGTTCATGCAATAATGAAATAGTTCATGATGTCGTTCGTGAAGAAGCCATTGCAACAAAGAATGAGATAAAGGATTTCATAGAACTTAACAAGGAGGAGTTTAAAGAAGGCTATGAAGTGAAAAGATGTGAAGAAGATTTCTTGGCGTATTTGAAGAAAAAGAGACTAAAGCCAATGGCTCAAAATAAGTTTCAATCGATGTTTGAAAAGAAACGTTTGAGCTATGGTGGTGTAAGAAGCACATATTACTTTGTTAAGAAGTGAGGACATTTATTTTTGTCGTTAGTGTTGGAGTTTTGTATTTGTTGTTAGTGAGAGAATAAATTAAATCATGAACTTTGCCATGGTCTCTGTCCCTAGTAGTTTTCATTAAGTTCTGGAAATAATGAAAGTCATAAACTTTGCCATGGTCTCTGTCCCTAGTAGTTTTCATTATCTCACAGAGTTAATGAAATCATACTTTCTATCAGATGAAGCATGCAGATGAACATAATAAAAGTTAGTGAGTTTGCCACGAGTTATGAATAAAATATTGGCATATTAGATGAGATAGCTGATGAAACAGATGAAGATAAATTAAATCTTGGACTTTGCCACACTCTGTCCCTAGTTCCTCAAAATCCTTGACAACGTTGCTTAGAAATTTTGGTTCAAAACCTCATCTGATTTTAATCTGTTATGCTACCTGTTAAGTTTCGCGAGATTATAAATGTCATGGAGTTATATAAAAAGGAGGGACAGCTAGCGATACTGGAAGTACTTATAAGGCTATCTGTTAAGATTGCATGAAATACTAAAAGTCATGAAATCCATTATCGCTGTGCTAGCTTCACCTTTGATTGAAATGACGACTAAAGTCACTGAAGCAATGAAACAAAAGTTTTTGGTAGAATACATTAAATCAGGAACTATTCCAGAAGGTTTTTACATTCATACTATGAAGGATGGTAGAGTTCAGTTTAGAAAGATAAAGCAACCATTAGATAAAGAAGGAATTTTGAGAAAGATTAAACTTCATGAGGACAACATTGCTGAACTTAAGAAGAAGTTAGAAGAGTTGGAGAAAGGAAGAGAGTTATAAAGCAATGAATTCAACAGGGTAGAAATGAGGTGAAAAAAGAGGTGAGATCTCACCACTTCACCTAAATTTATTTTTGTGCTATGTTTTCATACGTGTGAGGGTGGTGATATCATTTATTTTTTATTTTATTTTTAAGTTTATTTTTAAGTTTATTTTTATTTTATTTGGATGTAATGACAGAACAAAAGCAACTCATACAAATCAAAACATATAACAAACATACATTTAAACATTTATTCTTCCTTCCTGAGCATAACATGTTCTTTCAAATACATCCGAGACCAGTTGACTTTTCATTGACTGTTTATAAAGATAGAAATAGTTATATCATTAAACCATACGATGACGAAGGTAAGTTATGTAAATTGTACGTTAAGAAGTTAGAGAAAGTTTATGGCTTCAAGTATGACTACAATAGGGTTAACACTGATGATGAAGATATTGAGGAAAATTTATGAGAACATTAGTGAAGTTGTTAGTGAGAACGATAGTGAGGTGAAATTGTTGGCGGCTTTGTAAATATTTAAGGTTAAGTTAGTTTTTGCGTTCATGTTGTAAAATATACGTTAACGGTTTCGTAAAATGTCAAATTCACATATCATGAGTAAGGAGGCGCGCAGTGCCACAGTACCGATGAATATGAGCTGTTATATGAAGCACAGCAATGGGAAGAGTTGCAATACTTTTGTAAGTGAGAACGTTAGTGTGAACGTTAGTGAAGTCGTTTGTGAAAACGTTAGTGAAGTCGTTAGTGAGGTGAAGTGGTTGGTGGCTTTGTAAATATTTAAGGTTAAGTTAATGTTGTCGTGTTGTGTTGTAAAATATACGTTAACGGTTTCGTAAAGTGTCAAAATCACTGTCATGAGTAAGGAGGCGCGCAGTGCCACAGTACCGATGATATGTATACTAACTTCAATCCAGCTCTGGAAGATATTTTGAACTCTATATTAGAAGAGTAGAGTTCAAAATATTTAACAGAGCTGGATTGAGTGCACATTAAATTTATTAAAGCCTGTTCCCAAAAGAACAGGCTTTAACAAATCGAAAGTGAGGAACTCCATCACTCCTGATCTTGAGGAAACGGAGTTCTGGAGCTCCTGAAGAGGCAGAATGGCTGCCTTATTCTTCTGATCAGCAGAGGCCCAAATGGTAAAGGGCCTCTGCTGATACAGATTCAGGAGCTCCGGAGCTCCATTTCGTAGGGATTAGGAGCTCTGGAGCTCCTGAAGAGGCAGAATGGCTGCCTTATTCTTCTGATCAGCAGAGGCCCAAATGGTAAAGGGCCTCTGCTGATACAGATTCAGGAGCTCCGGAGCTCCATTTCGTAGGATTGGGAGCTGAGGAGCTCCTGTAAGGGAATAAGGTCTCTCACACAACCATTAAAATTTTTTTGAAACACGTCCCCTGCAATTGCACTGGATGTCAAAAAAACTACTTTACAAAATGGTGGCAATTTGGCCGCACAATTTTGTAGTCTTCCCGTTTTCCAAATGTATAACATTACATTTTTTTCTTCTAATGAATTTAAATGATATCCTATATGGTAAAATGCAATTCACTGATCAAGACATTCACCCAAATAAATTCAGTGAATTGTGAAGTATTTTCAAATCCTACATTGATTCATACAATGCAATTTATCAGCTAAAAACCCAAAATGAAGAAGAATTAAATAAAATTTACAAAATGATCGAAACAGAATTGATTCAAAGAAATATCTACCTACAAGTGTTATAAATGACATTTTAAATATTATTCCATATAATAATCGCTATACAAAGTCGTATTTATTTCTTGCCAAACTCATATCTGATGATTATCATATCACAGAGGCAAGCAGTATTCCAACTATTCCAAATTTCCTGTTTTATAAAGAATATGGAATTAAGTTAAACAAATCTGATGATTTCAAAGAAATTCATTTTATAAATATCGATATTCATGCAGAAAATACAATTTACAGAGCAATTATGTATAATAACCTAGAAACATTCATCTCGTTCACTGAAAGAGAAGGATTTGATAAAGAGCAAACACTTGAAAGCACATTATATCCATATCAACTTTTTATTGAAGGATATTCATTACTTGAATTATGTTGTTACCATGGAGCAGTTGATTGTTTCAAGTTTTTAAGAACGAAATTCAATTCAGAAATAACTCAAAAATGTCTAAATTTATCATTTTTAGGAGGAAATCAAGAGATCATGAGTGAATGTTTGAAATATCAGGAACCAAATAAAGAATCCATGGAATATGCGATTGTTTCACACAACATTGATTTTGTTACATTCTTGATGAATGAGTACAATTTAGAGATCAAATTATCTTATTGTGGTATAATAATCTTGAATCATTTTTAGTTTATTTCGATCAAACTAATGATATTAACAAATGTTTTATTAATTCAGTGAACTTTAACTTTCCACCCCTTTTGGAATATTTCATTTCACTTGGTGCAAATATCAATGAAAAAGATAAAAATGGAAACACAGCACTTCATAATGTAGTAGCATGGAATTATGATGAAATGGCAGAAGTTCTTATTTCACATGGTGCAAATATCAATGAAAAAATAAATATGGAGAAACCGCACTTCATATTGCAGCTAAAAATTATAGTAAAGAAACTGTTAAATTTCTTATTTCACATGGTGCGAATATCAATGAAAAAGATGAAGATGGAGAAACCGCACTTCATATTGCAGCTAAAAATTATAGTAAAGAAACTGTTAAATTTCTTATTTCACATGGTGCGAATATCAATGAAAAAAAAAAATAAATATGGAGAAAACACACTTCATATTGAGATATAAAAATTGCTCACATTTGCTCACATTTTGGCACTTTTTTGTACGTTTGTCAAAAAATTGTGAGGAAGATCTCACAAAAATAGTCAAAATGTGAGCAAATTTTGAGAATTGCTCACATTTTGACATACGATTATTTTCATACGTTTTTTTGATGAATTCTAATAAAACTTCATTACCACTTTCAGAACGAAGCGTAACTTTTCAGCACGTAACGCTCTATCATGTGTAGTGACATATTATTCAAAAAAACTCAGATTGCTTATCTTATAATAACAATTTCATTAGAAAAAATGCACGATTTCACGCTAAAACTTTGAAGCAATTCTTAAATTCGGATAAAAAATCGATATGTATTACACTTTAAACTTCAAAAAATGGTTCAAAATTTAGACTTAGTTTATCTTAACAATATAGCAGATTTTAAGCCGAACAAGTAGGAGTAATAGAAATAGCTCTTGAAAATAATTACAATTAGTAATATGTAAGTCAAAGTTCGAGTATTCGAATAAATAAACGTTCCGGATTTTCTTTACTACAAGAATCAATACTTAATATATAGAAGCAACAGTAAAAACTTATTAGAGATTCAAAAAGAAAGTTGACTAAAGAGAATCTTTTTATATAAGTAATTTTATTTTTTTGAAATACGAGATCGAATAAACATGTATTTTATTTTATTACTATAATAATACGTTTTTACATAGTAAGAAAGTTTAGAGACTGAAATGAAATTAAAAATTGAGAAAAAAATAAAGCTTTTCTATAAAAATTCATATTAATATTTATTTGATTGAGTTAAAGTTATCCAATTTATTTGGTTCAGTTTAAAATTATTTGTATTTAAAATATTTTAGAAATATTTACAATAATATTCATATAATTATCGATTAAATCGTTGCAGAAAGTAAAATGATATAATTTGCTATATTTAGAATTTAAGAAATTTTAAATGGTGAAAAAAAATAGAAAAAATATGAAAAAATAGACAAAATAGAGTAGGTGACAAAAGTGCATACTCTTAAATTAACCTTAAATGTTGATTTTTCGATAGAGTAGGTGCCAAAAGTGCTTACTCTTAAACAACCGTCGGATTTCCGGGTGAAATCGTGACACACTTTCGTCTTTCGTAGGCAGTGGTGGTTGTTACAAAAGGTAACTTCGAATGTAGCGTGAAATCTGCAAAAAAAATTCTGAAATTTGAATGGAGAACACAAAAATTGAATAGTTTACGTCAATAAAAAAGAGAAAAATGAAGCCAATGTGTCTCGAACCTAGGACTTAGAGCAGCAATCCCACTGTTTATCCCATTACACTACATGCATCTCTCACCTCAGTGAATGAGATCAACTATATGATAACTTTTTCCCCATTATATTCTTGTGGAAAAGTGACAAATAGCAACTTTGACCCTCTCTCGACAAAATATTGGAGACTTCTAATTAAGAATGAAAGACTTGTCATTATTCTGGAATTCATAGCATGAAGATATTGTAAGGTACATTATGTATATATATACATCTTTCCATCAAATAATCTTCAATCTACTTATAAAAAATATTAAAAAAATCATAAAAATGTTTATTATAATAACGATAAAGTTGAATAGAAATCAATGTTACATATTATTGAAATAAATCATCTTCGGCAATTTCAATGTTTTCTATCTTTTCATTTTTTGTTTCTTCTAAATTTATTTGAATGTCATCAAGTATTTGATCACTTGACATATACCTTTCAATTTCAATATCTCTGAAATCAATTCCAGAATGTTTGGACAAATCCTTATATTTTTTCATTATATCCTCAGGAATTAATGATATTTCCAGACCAAAATGCTCTTCAAATAACTGAATCTCTTCATTTATTTTTTTCAATTTAATGAAATACGACTGTTTATGATCACTTGTGTTTTTATCTGCCCGTGCATATCGATGCAAAATCGCTAAATCCACTTTCATTAAAGTGTGTACCGTCTTTAAAATTGTGGGATGTGAATATACAATATTTGTATTTAACACTTTGTTGTACGATTCTACGCCATTATTAGAATAAATATTGTCGAATACTTTGAGCTTGCTGATTGAATTATAGCTTGTGCTCCATGTTTTAATAAAGTATTTTGCAAATTCATTTGTATCTTGAATGCATTTAATTTTATTACAAACCAAATCAAAAACTTCTTCTGGCATGAATGGAGAAGCGCATAATAACTTTAAAAGAATTTTATTGTTAAGATCTTCTGGATCACATTTTTTCTTGAAATTCTTAACTAATGCTGCAATAAAGTGATATATGCATCCAGTCAATATGGTTTGCTCTCCTTTTCTTTTATAAATTGAGCCTTGAAGTGCTTTTTCGAAATCAGTTGTTATAACATCAAATGTTGATAAAGGAATTTTAATATCAGTATCATACTCCATAATACTAAATACTCTTTGATAATCAGTTTCTGTTCTTCCCGTCATGATTATATGTAAAAACGGTAGATACAGTTGAGTTGCTTGGTCAAAAATTAACAAATTTAATAATTGGCCATTCATTATTGATACAGGAACGACTTTGAAGGTTCCATCAATAAAACAATGTGATGAATACCGTGCAACTCGAATGAAACGTTCCAATCCAAAAAAATAATAGGCATTATCATTTTTTGTGCTTTGGGTAATAAAATATGATCTTTGATTAAAAAATTCTAACATTTCATTAATAATATCAATCTCTGATTTTGATTTGACAGGATGAACTTCATAATACAGCTGTTGGACTTTCTTCTCTGATATCTGAATGAAATTAGTAGACTGGGCTTGATTACAGTCATATATCAGTTGATTTGCATACTTTCTTGTTTCTGATATCGTTGCGGTTGGATTTTTGACAACATAATCTTGAACTTGAGATTCAATATATATCATAGTTCATTGGATTTGTTCCTTTAATTATTTGAGATTGTTTTGCAGGTCGGCAGTTATGAAGTTTACTGTCTGGTTTTTCTTCAGGAGAAATATTTAATTTCTCATCAAAGACTTTTACATGCATACAAAAGTTGCATCTAGGTTTATATCCGCAATAATAAATAATTTCTAAATAATTATTATGAGCATTGTAACGTTGAAATCTCAAAGGATGACCATTTGTATATATGGTTAATGAATATTTAATACGTGCGGATTGGAAAATTGAAAATGTATGATAAGTCCTCAGAATATTTTTGATTCTTTTTCGGTGAATCTCTTTATTTTTATCATCAAAAGATTGATAATTAGGAATAAGTTCAATACAAGCTTTATTAACGATAATAGATTGTTTATGCGTTGAAAAATTATTTTGGTAATCATAAGCAAAATTTGGCACTAGATGTGTATTTTGTAAATCTGTTAATGGAGGATTATCGGTTAAATGATTAGAAATTTGGGAAGAATAAGAAGCAGTTTCATTAGGTAGTGAGGATTGATGCTGAGGGATTTGACGCTGAATATCCGAATTTATTGTTGCATTTTGTCTTTGATTTGTGTTTGAAGGAGTGACTCCACTTATTGTTTCATTTTGTCTTTGATTTGTGTTTGGAGGAGAAACTCCACTTATTGTTGCAGTTTGTCTTTGATTTGTGTTTGGAGGAGAAACTCCACTTATTGTTTCATTTTGTCTTTGATTTGTGTTTGGAGGAGTAACTCCACTTATTGTTGCAGTTTGTCTTTGATTTGTGTTTGGAAATGAAACTGCATTTATTGTTGCATTTTGTCTTTGATTTGTGTTTGGAGGAGAAACTCCACTTATTGTTTCATTTTGTCTTATATTTGAATTTTGAGCAGTTACTCCACTTATTGTTGCAGTTTGTCTTTGATTTGTGTTTGAAGGAGTGACTCCACTTATTGTTGCATTTTGTCTTTGATTTGTGTTTGAAAGAGTGACTCCACTTATTGTTTCATTTTGTCTTTGATTTGTGTTTGGAGGAGTGACTCCACTTATTGTTTCATTTTGTCTTTGATTTGTGTTTGGAGGAGTAACTCCACTTATTGTTGCAGTTTGTCTTTGATTTGTGTTTGGAAATGAAACTGCATTTATTGTTGCATTTTGTCTTTGATTTGTGTTTGGAAATGAAACTGCATTTATTGTTGCATTTTGTCTTTGATTTGTGTTTGGAAATGAAACTGCATTTATTGTTGCATTTTGTCTTTGATTTGTGTTTGGAAATGAAACTGCATTTCTTGTTGCATTTTGTCTTTGATTTGTGTTTGGAAATGAAACTCCACTTATTGTTGCATTTTGTCTTTGATTTGTGTTTGAAAGACTGCATTATTGTTGCATTTGTCTTTGATTTGTGTTTGAAATGAAACTCATTTATTGTTGCATTTTGTCTTTGATTTGTGTTTGGAAATGAAACTGCATTTATTGTTGCATTTTGTCTTTGATTTGTGTTTGGAAATGAAACTCCATTATTGTTGCATTTTGTCTTTGATTTGTGTTTGGAAAGAAACTGCATTTTGTTGCATTTGTCTTTGATTTGTGTTTGGAAATGAAACTGCATTTATTGTTGCATTTTGTCTTTGATTT